TATTTATGGTGTAACATATACGGCTTCCAACAAGGTTTCGAAAGTAATGATTACACACGGGAAACGGGTACGGCAGGTTTTAGAAAATGAAAGTATTTCTTTTGATGATGCGGATACTGAAGGAGTGATGACCCCCCACAACGACTCACTGGTAATATCTTTACTTGTACATGACACTAATGTAAAACGAGTTTTGATTGATCCAGGAAGTTCCGCAAATATTATACTACTGAGGGTATTGCGTGAAATGCAAGCTGAAGACCAAATGATACCGAAGGCGCATACCTTGTCCGGATTCGATAATTCAAGTGTGGTAACAAAAGGAGAGGTAGTTCTAACAACTTTTGCTGCAGGTGTTGTTAAAGAAACTAAATTTCAGATAGTAGATATGGAAATGGCTTATAATATGATCATGGGGAGACCTTGGATCCATGATATGGAGGCTGTCCCATCCACTCTACATCAAGTTATTAAATTCCCATCTCCATGGGGAATATGCCAAATCAGAGGCGATCCACAAACATCTAGAAGCATTAATTCCGTTGCAGATTCAGTTGTTAATAGTGGAGACAAATAGCAATTACAGAATTTATGTGAGGGTAACACGGAGTCAACCTCACCTGAGCAAAAGCAAACAGATGTAGATTCGAGGCCTGACACCATTCAAGAACCAGAGGAGAACGAAAATATCAAAACAACGATAGAAGAGCTAGAGGCCGTGGTGCTGTTTATACATTGGCCCGAGAGAAAAGTATACATAGGAGCTAATCTTAGCCCGGAGGTAAAACGTAAATTGATTGAATTTTTAAAAGCTAATGCAGATTGTTTTGCTTGGTCCCATTCTGACATGACAGGGATACCACCGGAAGTCATGACACATAAGTTGAATGAAGATCCATCATATCCTCCCGTCAAGCAAAAGAAAAGGAAGCAAGGAACTTTCAAAAATAAGGTGATTCAAGAGGAAGTTCAAAAATTGCTAAAAATTAGTTCAATTCGTGAGGTAAAGTATCCTAACTGGTTAGCTGATACTGTTGTGGTTCCTAAGAAGAACGGTAAGTGGCGAGTTTGTGTAGATTACACAGACCTTAATAAAGCCTGTCCAAAAGATTCCTTTCCTTTACCACACATAGACCAGTTAATTGATGCTACTGCAGGGCATGAGCTATTAAGTTTTTTAGATGCATATTCAGGCTATAATCAAATCAAGATGGATCCAGGTGATGAAGAAAAAACTTCTTTTATAGCAGACAGGGGGACTTACTGTTACAAGGTAATGCCTTTCGGTCTTAAGAATGCAGGTGCAACGTACCAAAGGTTGGTCACACAAATGTTTCAAGAACATTTAGGTAAAACCATGGAAGTATATATAGATGATATGCTAGTTAAAACTCAACATTCAGAAGATCATATATCACACTTATCTGATACGTTTAAAATTTTACGAAAATATAATATGAAGTTGAATCCAGAAAAATGTGCATTTGGAGTGGCGTCAGGAAAATTTTTAGGTTTTCTTGTTTCTAACCGTGGAATTGAAGTGAATCCTGCACAGATTAAGGCCATTGAAGAAATTCCAGATATACTTTCTAACAAGAAAGAGGTTCAAAGATTAACCGGGAGAATTGCAGCTCTGGGAAGATTCATTTCCAAGTCTTCAGAAAAATGCTTCAAATTTTTCTCAGCTTTAAAGAAACAGGATCATTTTGAATGGAACGAAGATTGTCAGCAAGCACTTAAGAATCTGAAAGTATATTTGTCAAATCCACCGTTGTTGGCAAAACCAAAGGTAGGAGAGAAGTTACTCATTTATCTTGCCGTGTCAGAAGTTGCGGTAAGTGCTGTTTTAGCTCGGGAGGATCAAGGTAAACAATCTCCTATCTATTATGTAAGCAAGTCTTTGCTAGATGCAGAAACACGGTACCCGCAATTAGAAAAATTAGCGCTAGCCTTGATTATGGCATCTAGAAAATTAAGACCTTACTTTCAATGTCATCCCATTGCTGTGGTTACTGCTTTTCCATTACGAAACATTTTACATAAACATGAATTATCAGGTAGATTAGCGAAATGGGCTATAGAATTAAGTGAGTACGACATCACTTATCAACCTAGAACTGCTATAAAATCTCAGGTATTAGCTGATTTCGTAGCTGATTTCAGTCAGGGGATGCAATTAGAAGCTGAAAAAGAATTACAAGTTTTTAACGGTGCAAACCCGGGGACTTGGGTTTTATTCACTGACGGTTCATCTAACGTAAAAGGCGCAGGTTTAGGAATAGTTCTCGTACCACCCACGGGTGAAACTATTAGACAAGCTATAAAGTGTCATTCGATAACTAACAATGAAGCAGAATATGAAGCTGTCATTGCAGGTTTGGAATTGGCTCGGGAACTTGGCATAACCCAGATTATAATCAAGAGTGATTCACAACTTGTTGTTAACCAGATGCTGGGGACTTATGCGGCCAGGGAATCACGAATGCAAGAATACTTAGGAAAAGTACGTGAATTAATAAAGCAGTTTCAGATGTGGAAAGTTGTGCAGATACCAAGAGATGAGAATTTAGAGGCAGATGCTTTAGCCAATCTCGCATCTGCAGCAGACGTGGCAAAAGATGCAAATGCTTCAGTTGTACATTTATTCTATTCCATTCTCGAGCCTGATAAGAATGAGGTAAATTTTAATAATTTGATCTGGGATTGGAGAAACGAGATTGTTGCTTTTCTGCAGTATGGAACCGTACCTGATGACAAAAGGAAGGCACACGCGCTTCGTAAAAAGGTTGCTCGTTACTGTTTATATCAAGGAAACCTTTATCGAAAGATGTTCGGTGGTCCATTAGCAAGGTGTCTTGGACCTTCCCAAACAGAATATGTAATGAGAGAATACATGAAGGACATTGTGAAAATCATGCGGGAGGAAGGTCGTTGGTAAAAACATTGATTCGAGCTGGGTATTATTGGCCTAAGATGGAAGAGGAAGCAAACAGTTTCGTGTCTAAATGTGATAAATGTCAAAGGTAGGGGAATAATATGCATAGACCAGCTGAGTTACTGCATCCCGTCATAGCTCCGTGGCCCTTTATGAAATGGGGGATGGATATCGTAGGTCCATTACCACAAGCAAAAGGTCAGGTGAAGTTTCTACTTGTACTTATTGATTATTTCACTAAATGGGTAGAAGCAGGAGCATTTAAACAGGTACGAGAAAAGGAGGTCAAAGACTTCATTTGGCGTAATATCATATGTCGATTTGGTGTGACAAAGGAGATTGTTTGCGACAATGGCCCTCAATTTATCGGAGCTCAAGTCATTGAGTTTTTTGAGAGTTGGCAAATTAAAAGAATCATATCTACACCTTATCACCCAGTAGGCAATGGGCAAGCAGAATACACGAACAAGGTCATTATTAACAACTTGAAGAAAAGGTTACAAGATTCAAAAGGTAATTGGCCTGAGGTATTACCTGGAGTATTATGGGCTTATCGTAAAACGACAAAAACAAGCACGGGAGAAACACCATTTTCAATGGTTTATGGTGCAGAAGCCTTAATCCCAGTTGAAATAGGAGAACCGAGCACACGATATGCTCAGGCAACGGAAGAATCAAATGGTGAAGAAATGCGGGTAAACCTTGATTTGCTCGAAGGAAGAAGAGAAGCCGCATTAATAAGGATGGCAACACAAAAGCAAGTGATCGAACGATATTACAACAGGAAAGCACGATTGCGATATTTCAAAACTGGGGACTTCGTGCTTAAAAGGGTTTTTCAATCTACAAAGGCAGCCAACGCGGGTAAACTAAGTCCAACCTGGGAGGGACCCTACAGAGTTCGGGACATTGCAGGAAAAGGAGCATACGAATTAGAAACAATGGACGGGAAGGTGCTTCCCTCACATTGGAATGCAGTTCATTTGAAGAGATACTACTTCTAAGGAAAAACCCACGGTCAGGTATCACCACGTTAAATTATTTATTTTTTGAATTGTTAAAATTTTACTAACGATTTTAGATGATAGGCAAAACGCTAACCCGTACTAAATGATGAGTCACGACCTGTAAGGCAAAAGGAAATAAACTAAAATTCCTAGCCCAGGGTTACAATTATTCTGATAGAAGTATACACGGGTTAAGCAGTCTTCATCTATAATCGCACCCTCGAGTCCCGTATATATTTCCTTTTCAGGAAAAGGACCAGGTTACTTCACCGCTCAAACACTTGGGGGACTACATATTGTACACATATACGTGCGGGAAAACAGATATGTAGATGAAAGTTGAAAAACAAAGAGACAAGTGTCGAGCAGAAGCTACGGAACCTCAACATTTATCATTGTGTTCTTTCCCATCAACAAATGAGGATATAAAACATTCATCATAGTGCTCGAACTCATGGGAACAATAGAGTCACCTCTCAAACCCTTCCTAGTACATGAAGATAGGGTCATGACGATATACTGAAACGGGTTATAAGAAAAAACCTTGTTTGAATTATATTTATTTTGCAAAAATCTGCTACAAGAAAAACAGTTACGAGAAAGTTATAGATGTATTTTAATACATGTAATATTCAAAAGCTTGTCAAAGTTCGTGAATAAAAACTTGTCAAAGTAGTTCCAAGCGAAACATGTGTGTTCCTATTTCTTTCATCGTATTGTAACACCATTATAAAGTTGAGACGTCTTCTTCATTAAGTGTCGATATATATAAAAGGGCCCTCTTTTATAAGCCTCATGTTAATAAGTCATGAGAAGGATCATAAAGCATTTTCAAAGTTTAAAAAATGCTAAACTATTCTATAAGTCCTAAATAGATAAGAAAAAGGCAAGAATAGAATATTTTGAAGTACTAATAAACTTCTTTATATAGTTAAAAAGACTAAGTAAAAACTTAGTCAACAAAAAGAAATTTTTACAAGTGCCCCATTATGATAACTGGAGACTTTTTCCACCAATCAACAAAGCAAATAAAAATAAAGTTTGAAAACATAAACTGGTCACTGAGGTGCTGGAGCATCAGAAGTTGTGATATCAGCTTCACTTTCAGGAACGGTAACTTCTAAAGAAACAGCAACAGAAGCGGTTTCAGCTGGGATTGAAATGGTAGATTCTTCGAGGGGAGCAAGAGCCACGGAAGCGTCAGTTTCCTCAAACCGATTCATAGATGTTTCACCCTCGGGAGCTGGAATAGCAACATTTTCAACTTCAATTGTCACAGCAGCAGCTTCTTCATTTAAAGGTTCTTCAGTCACGGGAGCTTCATCTGCCGGAGAAGGAAAGTCAAGTGGTTGTTGGGTCATCTCAATGGTTTTCAAAACCTTGGCCAATTCCGATTCTAAATCAAAGTTTTCTTGTCTGGCCTCAGTTAAAGCATCACGACGAGAGTTTAGAAAAGCCCAACTCACTTCTATATTAAAATTCTCCTCAAGAAGCTCATAATCCCTTTCCCACATAGCAAGATCATTCTTTAACACTTGATTTTCAGCTAAAGTGGAATCAAGGGTGGCTTCAAGGGAGGCATGAGAACTCTCTAATGCATGAACCTTATCAGAGGAGATCTTCAAATCAGCTTGAGCTTGAGTCAAGTTTTGTACTAACTCTCCTGCATATTCTTCTTTCTTGTTCAAGAGTGCTTAAGTTCTCTGATTTCTTCACTTGACTTTGATAATTGCTCTGAAAAGGAACACTCGAGGCGCTCCTTGTCCTTCTCGGCTTTACTAGAAGAAGCCTTGGCCTTCGCTAAATCCGAAGTCAGAGTCCGCTTTTGCTGCTCCAGGTTACGGTTGCTTTCTTGCAATTCTTTTATCGTGTCTTGAGCATTTTTAAACTGTTCCTTCCAATTAGTTGCCTCCAGCTGGGCTTCCTTAGCTACCCTCTCAGCCTCGAGAATAGTCTTATCAGATTCACGAGCCTTCTTTTCTAAAAGGAAAATTCTTCCCATCAACTCCGTGCCAATAAGGTTGGCCTACAAAGACAACTCATGAAGATAAGAATCTAGAAATAATAAAAAAAAACTTATTAGAAAGTAAAGGGAGAATACCTTCAACGTAGAATGAACTATGTCATTCATCAAAGTTAAGCAACTGTGACTGTCCATCTTTTTCTTCTCAATATCTCCAATTAAAGGCTTAAGCCAGACATCTGCTCCACCAGACTTCCTTAAAAGACTGTTAGTAGCAGGAACCTCAAGTGTTACACTCCTCATAGCTAAACTTCTGCTACTAGAACCCTCCTCTGCATGCTGAACAGAGGAAGGGGGAGCTATAGAAGGAGGAACGGTAGAAGAGGTGAAAATAACAGGAGTCGAGGGAGTCGAAGCAGGTAAGGGAGCAGAAATTGGCAAAGAAGCAGGAACAGATAAAATGGGCAAAGATGTACTTGAAACTAAAGAAGGAATAGGAATGGAAGAGGAAAGAGGAACCTCATCTAAAACCGGACCTAGATCACCACTTTCGAAACCCTCAGTGAAGAGACGTTGAGTGGATTCAATGGTGTCCCTGGGAATGGTTTCATCATCGGAAACAATATTAACCGGAGAGGAGGCACGGGTAGGAGAAATTTCAGCTTCATCTTCGGAAATGATACGTCTCCTGACTCTAGGTCTAACTGCCAAAGAGGTGTCTTCATCTTCATCATCCTCGGAATCCTCTTCAACAACTTTCCTCTTTGACAGCGTAGCTTGTGCTCTCTCCAAAGAAAGAGGAGTACCAAAAGAAGCTCGAAGGGCAATAGCTACTTCATCTGACATCCCTCGAATAGCAAATCCTGACAGAAAGAAGGATAAAAAGTTAGAAGAGGGGAAAGAATTTAACATATGGGAAACAATAAGAGATGCATACCGTGAGTTTTTACTTTCCAACCATGTTTGTTAGAAATAGATTTCCAGGTTCGTGCCTCCATAGGCACGGCCTTCAAGATAGCATCTACCCAACCACGGAAATTAGGAACGGGTTCCACATCTCCCATGGTTGCTACAAAAAAGCAAAAAAGAATGAAATTAGAAAAGGAGTTGAAATAAAACAAACACGGCAAGAAAGAAATACTTACGTGCAAGGTTCCATTTCTCAGGGAAAGGAATATTTGATTCACCCACCAAATCAACCGTGGGTACCGCAACATAACGGGTGTACCAGCCTCGATCTTTATCATCTTCAGGGCTTACCAAAACCCTTTTACTTCTTGCGGTTAGGGTAAAAACACCATTGCGAAACAGCTTGGGGTGGTAAAGATGAATCAGATGAGAGAAGGTAAAATCAACATCAGCCTTTACCGATACATACCTTAAACAAGCTACTGCTCTCCATACGAGAGGGCCAATTTGAGCCAAACAAATTTTGAAAAAACGACAAAAATCGAGTATGACTGAGTCGATAGCAGGAATAAATCCCAAAGTAAAGGGATAAGTATAAACAGAGGAAAAACCAATCCTATAAGAAGATATTCTCTGGTTTGGGTTAGGAATAGCTATATGAAGGTCATCTCTCCAACGACAATCTTTTCGAACAGTGGAAATTAAGGGTTCAGTAATTAAAGAAGGATAAGTGTCAGCTCTCTCTAATTTAATTACTTGGTCACGAAGGGATTCTTTATCATGCTCGAAAGATAAATCAGTTGGCACTATTTCTTCGACCAAAGGTTCTTGCATCGACTCAGAAGATTCTTTGCCTTTAGAGGAAGATCTATTAATGAAAGAACCTCTAGAAGTAATACCAGAGCTAGAAGAAGGAGTGATGGAACCAGAGGTACCACCACGAATGGATCCAAGGCCACGAAGCCTACCCCCTCTACCCCTTCTATGTCTCACAGGGGCATTGGGGAAACTGTCAAGAATTGGGACTCTCCTAGGGTTGGGATTTGAAGATGACATGGTAGAAAGGCGTGAACAGAGGAAGAAGTGAATAGAAGTAAATAGTGAAATATTAGGTAAAAATTTGTGGAAGGAGGATTAAGTTTATATAAAAGCAACCGTCAAAGATTAAGAAGTGTAATGATGGAAAGCCTATAATAAAGGCAACTATCACTTCGTGAATAGTGGAGTTGAAGAAGCCTTGAAAAAAAGGTTGCAGAATTACAAAGCTAATGAGAAGGAGATACGTGTGTGATGCATTAAATAGAAAAGACAACTGAAGCGTTAGTACTGTCATAGCATTAATTATGGTGAAGATTCCCTTTTTAATGAAGATCCACTTTCCAAATATTTAATTGATAAATAAATGGAAAGTGGGGGGACTATCTGTATTGGGAAAAAACTGAATTTAAATATTGAAGATGACATGTCATGACACGTGGACCGGTCAAATAGTCAAAGCATGGCAAACAGTTAGAAGACACGAGCAACAATAGATGCGGGAGTGAAGATACTTAAAGGTACGAGCTATTATCCAGATGAAACGAGGCTCGTACCTGTTCGAGCCATTTAAAGCTCGAAGATCAGAAGGAATTGAAGATATGAATCTGATAGCGTAAAAGAGTCCAAATTCAACATTAAATGCCAAATACGTTAGAGAATTTGTAATTAATAAGAATGATTGAATAACGTTTCTTTTAATGTCATTTACTGCTCGTAATTGCCTCATTAAGACAAAAGTATTACACTTTCTCTTAGAATTGACTATAAAAGGAGAAAGTCACAACATCTGTAGGGGACACGAAATATCATTCCGATTATACTGAAATATACTCTTATTCATTGTTTTATTGTTGTTCACAAAATCTCTTATTTCTTGATTATCAGTAACCCGATTTCTCTATTAAATTCTAGTTTTAACCAAATATTCAGTTTTTTGGCTAAACAATTCCTGAAGCTGGAAATGTTGCACGTGGTCCACATGTTGCTTTCTTTCTTTCATTTCTTGCAAAGGGTAGTTTGCAATTTGCAAATGATAATAACTGTCCAAACCTTGGGTTAGTGCAAGTGGATGACAATAAGTGATATATTTGGAAGGTCATTTTAATTTCTTAACATATCTTTCAACAGAAACAGAGTGGGAGTTGGGGCCGGCTATTTTTGTCCTACGACTCGAAAGGCAACTCTCCATTCACATTCTGCTATCCTTTTGTCCTACAAAGAAACTGAATTGGTTAAGTTACATATAGAATATTTATATACTCCGTGTCTTTTTCAAGTACTAGTTTATACTCAATTCGTATCAAATCGAACATCTTAATTTGACCTATCACATGTATGACACGTCGAGCTCAAATAGACATTGTGTTCATATCTAGAAAATCGAACATGTAACGCTAATGAATTAAAAATGCATCAAATAAATGAACGTGCAAGAATAAAAGCCGGGTGTCCAGATTATAACGGACACAAAAGTTATCTGACATCCATTACTATGCTCTAAAAGATCAACTAGACATTACAATTAATTAGGTAAAAAATTAATTATAACTAGTGGATACGGAAGATATAGTTTTCAATTTTAGAAGTATTAGCTTTTGGAAATTCCCTATTTATGTGACTCACTTTCCTTTTTAGTAGTTTATTTTAAAAATAATAATAATAATAATAATAATAATAATAAGAAATAGTTTAACCTTAAACTTATTATTTTACCATTAATGAGATGATTTATAGCCACATAAATATTTATGGCTTGTTTTAAACTACAAATTTTATATATAAAAAATATAATTTGGAGTCCAATGAAACTGTGTCACATAAAGTTGGAGGGAGAGTAAGTAAGAAGGAATATGTATAATAACCTTTGACTTGACAACTACCGGTACGTTGGATTCCCAAAGATTCGCTAGTAAAATTGGTGGTGTAATATAGGAGTAATATAGATGCAACACGAATTAAATATATTATTTTATTTGTTTCAAATGACAAAGATTGGTTAGTGGTAGCCTAAGTAGTCCCAGTACTCCAGATAAAATATATATTTTCTTTTTGGTCCGTTCCAAAAAGAATGACCCCTTTTTAAATTTGGTAACAATTTAGCTAAACTTACAATTCTACCCTTAATGAGAAGCTTTTTATAACCACATAAATACTCTGGGCCCCTTTTTGACTTGTTTAGGACCACAAATTCCAAAAGTCTTTATTTTTCTTAAACTTCGTGCCCGGTCAAATAGGTTCACGTAAATTGGAACGGAGGGAGCAACTCCTTGTCCCAATTTATGTGTTATATTGTTTTATTTTTAGTCTAGTCAAAAAGAATGTCATACTTTGTTATTAAGAAAACAATTTCACTTTTAAACTTCCTACTTTACCCTTAATGAAATGACTTATAACCACATATTTTAGAGGTCTTTTTTTTTTTTTTTGGCTTAAACTCGACTCAAATAGTGACACATAAATTCTGGAGTACATATTATATTTAAGAAAGGAAGGAAGGACGGAAGAAAGGTGCAGAAACTACAAAAGAAACACTCGCAAGTTGCCGCATCAGCCAGCAGAAAACCGCACGAGCTAAGACACACTCTAGACTTTAATAACTTCACTTATTCATCTATACGGCTTACTTACGCGTGTCAAATTCCAGCCTGTTCCCTGATATTCCTTTGTGGTATCAGACTATTTAGCTACAATGCTTCACTTATTCATCTATTATATATATATAGAAGCGTTCATAATCCTAGTATCCTACTTTTTTAGAACCCAAGTTTTCACATTCCGATACCCAAAAATAGCAAAAAAAACAACCCGCGGGGTATAATATATATATTAGTATTAGTAACTCCCAAGAATGGATATTTCTCATAGCTATTGTTGTGACCCACTTCCTACAGCATCATTATCACCAGTGTCTAACAATAGCAGCTCCTGCATTAATAGAGCTAGAGCTGATCTTTCTGAAGAGGAAGTGATGTTAGCTTCGAATAACCCCAAGAAGCCAGCAGGGAGAAAGAAGTTTCAAGAAACTCGACACCCAGTATACAGGGGAGTGAGGAAGAGGAATTCAGACAAATGGGTTTCTGAAGTCAGAGAACCAAATAAGAAATCAAGAATATGGCTTGGAACTTACCCCACTGCAGAAATGGCGGCTAGAGCTCATGACGTGGCGGCTATTGCATTAAGGGGTCGTTCTGCTTGCTTGAACTTCGCAGACTCTGTTTCGAAGTTGCCTATCCCAGCTTCTACCGACGCTAAGGATATTCAGAGAGCGGCGGCGGAGGCCGCCGAGGCTTTCCGACCATCTGATCAGTCAGAAAGAGTTTCAGGAGAATTTGCTGAAATGCCAGAAAGTAATAATTTTTTTATGGATGAGGAAGCGCTCTTCTGCATGCCGGGATTGCTAACAGATATGGCCGAAGGACTAATGTTACCTCCACCTAACTACGTAGAAGTTGGAGATAATGTGGAAGCTGCTGATATGACTCTATGGAGTTATTCTGTTTAAATATATAGTTCTGATTATTGCTTCTATCAGACAATCTAGATGTTCTCCCCTATAACTACAGTTACTTAAATTACTGTAGGATTTAGAAGATAGTAGTTTCGTACTCGGTATTTGGATGGTACGGATTTACACATGTTATAATTTAGTACTCCCTCCGTTTCATATTAGATGAGGTAATTTGACTCGGCACGGAATTTAAGAAAAAAAAAAGACTTTTGAAACTTGTGGTCTTAAAAGCTTAAGGGGTAAAAGGTTTGTGGGGCCATGACATTTGTGTGACTATAAAAACTTCTCATTAAGGGTAAATGGGTAAAATGAAGAGTTTAAAGTTGAATTATTTCCAAATATAGAAATGTGTCATTTGTTTTGAAACAAACTAAAAAAGGAAGTACCTCATCTAATATGAAAGGGATGGAGTAATAATTAACAATGTAGATATGAATGAAATATGTGCGCAAGAATATAATAATTAGCAGTTGTTTCATCTATCTTAGAATATTCAATATTTTTTGCCTTTCTAGATTCAGAATTTGTAACCTTTTACTAATATACTAGAATGTATTTTTTTTGGCCATTTTCAAGCCAATGTAGGCGAAAAATATGCAACATGTTGAAGGTTAATTCCGTTGCTCACATTTGACACAGAAAATCGTGGTCGAAGTTGATACTAGCTTTTTTTCTTGCTCACGGAAGAATCCAAATTTGTAGGTTAGTACAATAATATTGATATTAATATCCTAGTCCAGTAGAAGAAAAAGGGGGGAACAACAAGATTCCTATTTCCTAAAACTGTTACACGTGGTCCACTCGTTTCTTTCATTTCTTGCAAAGGTGGAGTTGAATATGATATTAACTGTCAAAGGATATTATAGTGCGAGTGAATGAGTGGCTGTAGTTCAGTGAGACAATATGGATGGCTTCAAATATTTGAAAGGTCAATTTTCTAACTTTAACCTTCAAACATGAATGCATTCGGACTCTCCTAGGATACTACTGAGATTTGTAATTGAAAGGAACTAATGCTTCACCTTATACTATCTTCTTCTCGAAATGTGTATAGCTTCCAGCTCATGTCCGTTATTGATCTTGACTTCGAATATTACTGTTTGGCTCAAAAGTTAACGATATACTTTGTAAGCGATAAAACAATCAAAAATAGAAAAGGGGTAAATCGTAATCAAATATAATAAGCCTAGAGATGCAAAGATGATAATATTGTTGTAGATCTGATATTGCAAAGCGATAATGTTTACCAATAAGATATTTTCGTTAGAGGTAGAGATATAGAGAGAGAAAGCCAGAAAAATGAGAGAGTTGTATTAGATCCGATCCCCCTTTTACAATGTGGAGGTCTCCTTTATATAATAAGAGACCTTCCTCGAAAGTATCAAAAAGTCACAAAAAGAGGTAACGTCTCCCTATCGTGGGCGCTGAGTTCTAAACGATGTCGCTTTTGTCCTCACGGCCGAGTCGTACCCGCTACGTTGGTCGGCGTACACTCATTGGGCGTACCCACTGGCGTAGAGATACTGGGGGTCAAATTTGACCCTATACAGTTAGTCCCTCCGCTCGTTGGAGACGCGTTCGGTGGGCGTCTTCGACAGGCAAAAATACGAACCTCGGCTTAGGAGAATTTGACCTCGACCAGGGGCGGCAATATGAATGAAGTGAAACATATGACGTTGTTGAGCCGCTGACGCGTGGCTTCCTTTCTGGAATGATGTCATCGCCTGTATGCATCATCATTTTATTTGCCCCCGAGGCGGTTCAGAGGATGAAGTGACGTTTTGGTTTCCGGCGCACGTTTTGAATCATGACTCTTCGATTCCTGTGCAACTTATCCTTATAAGTAAGAGAGAAGTTTGATCTGATTCCACTTTCAAGCCGCTGAAAAGTATTTTCTGATACACTCCTTTACCGTCCTTTCTTGCAACCGTTATTTCGTGAGGGACTCTCCCACTTCTGTTGAAACCACACTTCCTATTGTCAGTGCTTCATTTCTCAAGTACCATAATCATGACAAAACGCGGACAGAATAATAAAAAGGCCAAAGATAATGCTCCGTCTAGGGTTCCGCCATCTTCCGGTGGTGAAGGGGAAAAGGCGGAGAAGGCCCTTGTTCCTCTCAGCGCAGACAGTGTCCTTCCGAAGGAGACGCACGTTCGCAGGGATTTTCCAACTAAAAGCCCTGATCTTCCCTGGGAGCACAGCGTTTTACTACAATCCCATTTAGATGATCTGCGAGAGACGCACCATATTCCGGACCACGTGGAAATGGTTCCGGCCGGGACGGATTATGCTAATGTGCACCGGCCTGGATATTGCACCTTCTATGAGTACCCGTTCTTGATCGGTTACGCCCTTCCAGTCTACCCTCTGGTGGAGGAGCTTTGCCGTTTTTACAATGTGTGTCCGGCCCAGCTCACTCCCTATACTTTGAAGGTGTGCCGTATCATGACCACTTATGCGGCCAGGGCCGGGTGCAGCGTCTCGGTCCACCACCTCTTACAGTTGTTCAGCGCTGGTTACCTGAGGCTACAAAGGGCTTGGTTGTTAAAGCCGATGATAAGCCCAACCGCCGCTTTTGGCGTAAATATTTCTACATCAGGACGGAGCACCTGGTGTCGAATCCCGAGGGGTTCCCGGAAAGATGGAATCCAGAACATAAGTATTTCTACTTGTAGATTTTAGTGCTGCTTGCGCCTTCGACCATACAGCCATAGTGACCTTTGTTTTTCTTTCCTCTTTTTTATTCGCAGCAAGGGCTTCTCCACCCCAGCTTGTTGATGACATTAAATCGTGGGTGGAAAGAATAATACCCTATGCGAAGGAGTGTCGTACCTGGGATGCATTTCTTCGGCAGTACGGCCCGTCAGGTAATTTTTTGGCTACGGTTTGGGGATTCCTTACGTATTTGTTATGACTTATTCGCGTTGGCAGGTCGGAGCGCCCCTAAAAAGAAGAAAAAGAGCGTCGTCACCTTACCTGGGGCGGGTACTGATTCTGAAGATGGATACATTCCCTGCGGCTCGCCCAGTGATGGTGCCGCGGAGATTCCTCAACCACTGCCTGTGGCGGCGTCCGCAAGGGGAGCGACTCCTTCGACACCATCCCCTCGGGCTGTGGAGGAGACTTCTAAGAGCAAGGAGATGCCGGAAAGAAAAAGACGTCGGTTGATAACCGGCAAGGGGATAGCCACGGCAGATGAGGGGGCGAGCGAGCCCCGTCGAGAGTCAAGGCCATTTTTTATGGCGGACGCCATCCGTTCCGGGAGGTCGGCTCCTCATAGGGGGGCCGTTCTTGACGCCAGGTGAACACGCATTCCAGAGAGCGGCTCGTCGGCTGCCGTTGGGGAGGCGGACGATGATGCCGAGAGGGCGGGCCCTGAGGTCGCCCAGGCAGATGCAGAAGCGTCAACGCGGGATCCGGCCCGTGTAGGGATGACGGTAGGTAGATCCAACCGTCGAATTCTGGATCCCGGGGGGGGGTATAACCTGTTGCAACACAGCGAGCAGGCCCCAGCAGATATGACCCTGCTATGTGCGGCCGCTGAGCGTGAAACGTTCAAGGGGTTAGCGACGGGGAACTATCCCGGAGGGTTGCCGGTGCGGCCTTACAGGTATTTTTCGATTCTCTTCATGCATCGTAAAATAAATTTTGATGCATGCTGACTTGCCTTTCATCCTTTTCCTCTTTTTTAGACTCTCATTTTGGAGATAGAGAGGGGGCAGCGAGCGCAAAGGAAGGCAGCCACCNGATTTCATCTTCTGCGGCCAATGCACCTTGGTGCCTAGCTTCTCCAGTGCGTACACTATCTCTGAAGGAGATACACAAAAGTTATGGGCAGTTAATAAAGGGGGCGTACCTCTTTCGTTTCGCAGTGGGGCGACGTGTCGCTGTGGTGCGTCTGTATGCCTTGGTGGCGGATGGGAGGATCTGGTGTATGGCTGGTGTCGATCTCTGTTGGAGCGGGGGAGTTGTTCCCGTCGACCTTCGTTCCGTCAATCTCTCCTCGTTTCTGAGTGTATCGCTGTTAGCCGTTGGGTCGGCCCATTAAGATCATCCTCGTCCGCTCGTACCTCGGCGCAATAGGCATTGTGGATTTCCTCCCATATGGTAGGGGGATATTTCATGAGGCGGCTCAGCAGCTTCTTGGTTGCCCTCGAACCATCTCTGCTTAGCCCGTTCTGGAAAGCGGCGACTGCCATACCTTCCGATACGTTTGGTAGACTCATCCTTACCCTGTTAAACCTTGCCAGGAAGTCCCTGAGTCCTTCTCCTGCGTTTTGCCTGATGGCGAAGATGTCGTTGACCCTGGCCTCCGCTTTCTTCGCGCCTGTATGGGCTGTGACGAATTTATCCGCCATTTCCTCGAACGTTGATATTGCCTTAGCCGGTAGCTGAGAGTACCATGTTAAGGCCCCTCCTGTCAACATCTCGCCAAACTTCTTCAGCAGTACCGATGGTACCTGTTCTTTCGATAGGTCGTTGCCCTTCACAGCGGTGACGTAGTGGATCAGATGATCCTCGGGATCTGTGCTTCCGTCATATACCCTTAAGTAGGGTGGCATCTTGAAGGTTTTTGGGGTGGAGTGAGGAGCAGCTTCTTCGGTGTATGGTTGTTCAACGAACCTTCCCACGTCGCGTTTTGGTAGCAACTTGGGAGCACCGGGGATCTTGTCGACCCTCTCCTGATGTTCCTTCATCTGACCACGGAGCGCCTTGTTTTCATTTTCCATTTCTTCCATCTTCTTTAGGATGGCTGTTAGCGTGCCATCGTTGGTCTGTGTCTCGATGGGTCTGTTATTTACTAGTGTAGCTTCCGGTCCACCCACGGCAGCAGTGGTACCTACCGTTGGTGTACATACGATGTTATTTTGCGGTGACCTCTCAACCAAGCCACTTAGAGTGCTTGTTAGCCATCTTTCCAGTAGCTCTTTGACCGCTGAGGGTGCTTCCGTAGCCGCAGATGTGGAAGCTCCTTTTTCGTGCAAGATCGTCAGGCCTTCAGATGGGGAAGGTGAGATCTCTGCACCTGGTGTGATGCTAGGGGTTGCATTCAGGATGCTACCGTCACTGGCCTCGTTGAGAGGGCCCAGGAGATTGGTAGTGACACCCAATATGGCTTTCGATCTTGTGCTATTTTCTGCCATTTTTCTATTTTTGTGTAGTGTAGAGAGTGGTAGTTGGTTGATCTCTAGGTGGATACTATGATTTTGATTCTCGAAATCCCCACAGACGGCGCCAAATTGTTTGGCTCAAAAGTTAACGATATACTTTGTAAGCGATAAAACAATCAAAAATAGAAAAGGGGTAAATCGTAATCAAATATAATAAGCCTAGAGATGCAAAGATGATAATATTGTTGTAGATCTGATATTGCAAAGCGATAATGTTTACCAATAAGATATTTTCGTTAGAGGTAGAGATATAGAGAGAGAAAGCCAGAAAAATGAGAGAGTTGTATTAGATCCGATCCCCCTTTTACAATGTGGAGGTCTCCTTTATATAATAGGAGACCTTCCTCGAAAGAATCAAAAAGTTACAAAAAGAGGTAACGTCTCCCTATCGTGGACGCTGAGTTCTAAACGATGTCGCTTTTGTCCTCACGGCCGAGTCGTACCCGCTACGTTGGTCGGCGTACACTCATTGGGCGTACCCACTGGCGTAGAGATACTGGGGGTCAAATTTGACCCTATACAATTACTTCCTCCTCCTATTTGTTATTACAATATCAAAATAACAACATATTATATTGAAGTTACAACTAGTTTATACACAACATATAATTGAACATCTTACTTTGATTTGAAACGTGTTTGACAAGTGGAGTTCAACATGCATGGTGTCCGTTGCTAGAAAATAAACTCTACACATGTAGGTTAATTAAGATGTATATACTATTTGAATACTTTATCGTGGAATGGAGACACAATTAGAAGGAACAAAAAAAAGAAGATGAATTGGGCTAAGAAATGTTTTTCTTTGGCCGAATTTACAAAAGATACTTGAGTTTGAGATTGTGTTTCCAGCAATTTTTTCAAGACACTTGAACCAAGCTACTCAAAACAAATATTTCAAATATATTTAATCGTTGACGACTTATATATGTGACATTTGGTTTGCTTAGTTTGATAAAGTGCGTGTGGTTACACACTTTTAAAAATAATATTAAATACTAAGTAATTATCTATAAATCTCATGATAAGCATTAATTAGTAATTTGGTAATTATAGTGACTGGTAACATTCTGAAATAAGTTAAAATTCACTAATAATACTAAAAAGAATTTATATTATCGGTGCAAATAATTTAAATTTAATATCTTAAACAAACAATTAGTTCTGTTTTATCAGTTTCAAATGTCAAATATTTGTCGGTAGCAGCGTTAAGTAATCCTACTACTCTAAATAAGCTATATTCCAAAAAAGGAAGGAAGGCAGAGAGGCAGAAGTAGAAAGATTCACAAGTTGTCACATCAGCAAAAACCCACACGAGTCGGACACACGCTTAAGACTTGGAATTTACTTTTCTGAAACCAATCCACTTGTCCCATAAAACAGCTGGGCTTAGGATATTTCTAAAAAATATCCAGCCTGTCCCCTCCACTTACCTACCGTGTTCGTTCGTCCGCGTTATTAAACTTTTTAGCTTTAGTGCTTCACTTATCATAGCTTACTTGCCCTTATATAGACGCCCGCCTTTCATATTGACCAGAAAGAAAAAAACTTCCAACTGACCAAACATCCAACACTACTAGACTGTATTTTTTACTCTCTGAATATATATATATATATATATATATACTAGTGATCAAGAATGGATATCATTCGAAGCTATTACTCGGACTCACTTACTGAATCTTCATCACTTTCTGATAGCAGCAGCTCCCCATGTAATAGAGCTAATCTTTCTGATGTGGAAGTTTTGTTAGCTTCGAATAACCCCAAGAAGCGAGCAGGGAGGAAGAAGTTTCGAGAAACTCGACACCCAGTATACAGGGGTGTGAGGAGGAGGAATTCAGACAAATGGGTTTGTGAAGTCAGACAACCAAATAAGAAATCAAGAATATGGCTTGGAACTTACCACACTGCAGAAATGGCGGCCAGAGCTCATGACGTGGCGGCTATTGCATTAAGGGGTCGTTCTGCTTGCTTGAACTTCGCAGACTCTGTTTGGAAGTTGCCTATCCCTGCTTCCTCCGAAGCTAAGGATATTCAGAGAGCGGCAGCGGAGGCCGCCGAGGCTTTCCGGCCATCTGAGCCAGAAGCAGTTTCAGGAAAATCATGTGCTGTAACGCCAGAAAGTAATAAGTTTTTTATGGATGAGGAAGCTCTGTTTTGCATGCCGGGATTGCTAGCAAATATGGCGGAAGGACTAATGCTGCCTCCACCTCACTACGTAGAAGCTGGAGATTATGTGGAAGCTGCTGCTGATATGCATCTATGGAGTTATATTATTTAAATACTTCCGATTATTGCCTCCTTCGAATAATCTATATCATCATAAGTATATATAGTCAATATGCAATCAGAATGCTCGAGGTGAAGTTCCTTCAATTAGGATTTACTAGGAGATACTGGTACGTAGTTTCGTACTCAATATTTGGATGGTACGAATATACAATAGCATTGTAATTTACTACAACGATGTAAATAGTAATTAAGTAGTACTCTTATGCTCTACTACAAGTGTTTTGGCTAAATTCAGAACATTGACCCTAGTTAGCGTCACCAATTTTGGGATAACTTGTCAATTGGATGACTTGGTTTAGGCAAGTGAGGAAAGAAAAAAAGCTTTGTTATTTCATGCCATTGTATTTGAACGAAAGTCCTTTTCTTTCCTGAGCCGAGGGTCCATTGGAAACAGGTTCTCTGCCCTTTCGGGTAGAGGTAAGGCTTGTGTATGTATTTACCCAGACCTCACTTTGTGGGACTATACTGGGTAGTTGTTGTTATTGTATTTGAATGAAATAAGTGGCCCAGTAATTAAATCTAGGATCTATTTCATCTGTTTTGGAGTATTCAATAATTTTCGCCTTCCAAGATTGTTATATAAACTTTGACTAATATTTGAAAACTGTACTTGTTGTTTTGCTACTTTTGATATTTATAAGAATTTACTTCTAAATACTTTTTCTTTGAAGCTTTTAGTATCTAAATTTAATTTTTTTAACCCGATCTTAAGCTAAAATTATGCGAATTGCTGAATTTAAACTACTTACAGAGTGAATTGTACTGGAAACCATTCTCCTCCTAGTAATTACTCCCTCCATTCCAATTTATGTGAACCTGTTTGACTGGGTACGGAATTAAAAAAAAAATGAAGACTTTTTGAATTTGTGGTCCTAAATAAGTCAAAAAGGGGCCAGAGTATTTGTGTGGTTATAAAAGCTTCTCATTAAGGACAGAATTGAAAGTTTAAACTAAATTATTTCCAAATTTAGAAATGAGTCATTATTCTCGGAAAGGACCAAAAACGGAATACGTTCACGGTGGGAGTAACCAGAAGTTCACTAAAGCACAAAGAGTCTCTTAACGTCATCTGTTGGGAGACCTTCATAGTCGCTGATTTACAACCACAGAATATTGTCGTTGGTGGGACCTTCATAGTCCACAGGAGCCAAAAATATACATGGACGACAACCAAAGAGGCATACGCCCCAAAAGAACAATGCTTTCATGTTTCCACGCCTTATTTGCATACGTGTGGCTGTCCAACGGGACGGGGCCAGACAAAATGATATTTAGTCAAAATGGTGGCGGGACGGGCCTAAACGGGATGAAACGGTAGGCTCATCCTATCCCGCTAACAAACGAGATGGGACGGGACTATTCGCGGGCCTCAAGTGGGCCTTTTTTTTAAAAAAAATTAATTATTTAAGCATTAAGTTTGGCAACGGCTAGTATTTTGACAGTGACTAAGTTTTTAAAGTTTTCAACGGCTAATTTTTTGACTTATTTAATAAACTTAAAACTTAATCAATTATAAAGATGTTACACCGCATATTTTTGTACGTGAGAGTACGTCGTAAGTCAATTGATGTAAGCTCAGAAATAATATTATATTTGGAAGCATATAAAGTAAGTTAATCATATTACCTTGGAAGTTACAAATATTTAAGATCATGAATAACGAGTATCAAGAGGGTTGGAAAGCTTAGAAGCTAAACCAATTGAAGAAAATAAGTTTCGTCGAAAGTCGACAAGTTTGGAATGTTATAACATGTACTTTTGGGTGAGACTAGGGTTCCTAACATGATAAAGAGGTTATGCTGAGCTATTTTAGTCGTATGATAGTCATGTGCTACGTTTTGAAGTCAAGCAAGTTATGGAACAAAGGTTGGCAAAGGTCATCACAAGTTATATTCATAATGTGCTAAAAATTAGGTCAAATGTAGCTGAGCTTTATCCCGATATCCTTGGAATTATTGGATGATCTACCTACCAAATTGAAGATATATGAGTCCATTTTCAAACTCATTAAACCGTTTATCGATACGACGTCGAAGTGGAGAGATATTCGCGTTTTCGCGAGACTGCGCAAGCAGCTCCCTTGGGACACACTTAGGTGGTGCTCGGCCTACTTCACTTTAAAAATGATTTGGACGCCTGTTTTCTACTCTTTTTTAGTCAACTTCATCTCCAAACGGTTAAGTTGTTACGATGATAAACTACAAGATAATACTTGGATTAGCTTAAGTCACTTCTATGGTGTTGTATTGCCATTAAGGGCTGTTGTAAGCTAAATATAACTTGAATTTTAACTTGAAGCTACTGTAGGAGGTATATATATTGCGTTCTTGCATTTTCTTAAGTTTATCTTGATGTTGATTAAGTTAAATGGATGGACTAGACATGAACTAGTGAATAAAGTTACTAATTGAGGATAGTTGGAGTTTTGGTTGTTTTTGTTGTTATAAATATATGGTGTAAGGCTGGAATCATTGATGAATGACTTCATTATCATGTAAATGATATTGTTAAGTTGAATTAAGAAGTCTATAATGGGTGATATGGGGTATACGGATTCTAATTGGAGCTTGCCGCACGTCGTGAAGTAGTTGTGACTTGTTGTTGCTATATGGTGTCTTGTTATTGATATTTATATGTTGTTCGATTTCTCTGATTGTTGTTGTTGGTATATGGTATTGGAGGAGTCCCTTGTTACAGGGGAGATGCTGCCCAAATTTAAGTTGCAGGTTTAAGTTGCAGACTTAGCCTTTACTCAGCACTGATTTTGAATCTCCTTATGCTATGGTAGATTAAGTTGAGTTGTTTGAAGAATTATTTCGAAAGTATTAAGGAATCAACGGAGTTAAGGTATGTTAAGGATATCTCTTCTTTTCTTTTGGCATGATCCATATGATACCACGAAACGAGCAAGCACGCAACTTTCATAAATGATTCTATTCTTAGAAGTACTAGGGTTGCCTATGTTCTTGATACCCCATATGTGCTACTACCATATTGTTTATTCATGGTTCTCATGACATTCCGAGAGATCTTATTAACATACTTCATTATGCATTTCATTCATTTATACATGTATATTATCCCATGATCAGATGGCATTATATACTCGTATAGTATATGTATATGGGGTATGGGGAAAGGTTATGGAGTTATATACGTATCATCACCTGATCAACTGATATACATTGATGATTTCGCCCACAGAGGCCGAGATGATATGATGGGATGCCCTCAGAGGCTTGATGATGCTATGTACGCATATACCTATGCATGATATGACATTTATACACATGCATGACATTTTAAATGTCATGATTCATAGAGCTATTCAGACTTACAGGTTGAGTTCATTACTCTATGTTTCTTTCATGTCTTTTATATACTGCTTTCATGCCTTACATACTCGGTACTTTATTTTTACTGACGTCCCTTTTGCCTAGGGATGCTATGTTTCACGCCCGCAGGGTCCCGATAGACAGGTTGACAGTTGTCTTAGTAGGCTATTAGCTCAACGGAAGGTGTTGGTATACTCCACTTGCTCCGGAGTTGCCTATTTGGTCAGTATGATTTGGACATGTATTGATTGGTATGGAGGGCCCTGTCCTCATCTTTATGACAGTTATGTACTCTTAGAGGCTTGTAGACAGATGTCATGTATATGGATACTAGTATGGCCTTGACAACCAATGTTTTTATTGTAGAAATGATCATGTCGGCCTTATAGACCCGTATGTCATATGTATAAGCTTATATATTATGTTGGGTCGTCCTATGTCTAGTATTCCCTTATGTTTTATTTTGGTTATTTCATGACGGCCCTTCTGGCCCATTTACCCATAATGGTATGATAAGAAAGATATGTTACGCTAGTACTCGAATGACTAAGGTACCGGGTGCCCGTTGTGGCTCTCTGATTTGGGTCGTGACAAAAGTGGCATCAGAGTAGTTATGTCATAGGGAGTCTACAAGCCATATCTAGTAGAGTCTTGTTTATGGGTGTGTTGCGCACCACACTTATAAGCAGGAGGCTACAGGGCATTTAGGATTGTCACTCATTCTTCCTACTCTAGATCGTGTGGTAGAGCTCAGTTGTAAGAATTCAAACTTCTAAATTCTATTTTATTCGTAATCAACGATACCTCATCCAAACAGACAGTTGGTAAGAGATTGAATGTGGTTGTGGAAGAGTTGAGTCAGATGAACTCAATTTTGCATCATGCTTATGATGAGTAAATGTGAGGTCTTCAGCGGATTATGTGTATACGAAGATGTGTAAGCTTCTTGATAAGGAGCCCTAAGGCATGAATATCTATCCACCCATATAAAAGCAATAAGAGAATCAGAAGGTAGATACAAGTATAAGAACAAGGTGAAAAAGGGTACGAGATGCCCAATTAGTGAAGATTATCAGTATTTACAATTCAGGTAGAGAAATACAAGCATTCTGAGTTACTTTCAACAGTAACAGAGATTTATACAATTGGCCACACCCATCTCAGTTATGCCCTATGGGAGCTAACAGATATAGTTTAAGAGAAAGATAGGATATCAGGATCCAGTTAGGGTTAGAGTAACCCAAAATGGTGGATGAATTGTTATCATTACCTAACATTTCCGAAGGATAGTGCAATCGTGGTAATAGATCTTCTTGTGAGACACTCAGATGATGCACTCTAGAATAGTACAGTCAGATATGAATACAAGAATGTTTAGAAATTTTAGAAGATAGGTATGGAATCCTTGAAGGGATAAATATTTACCATAGTATGACTCCCGCCTCTAGTAAGAAAAAAGAGAAAGTTAGGCATCCCGAAGAGCCAATGAGATGAAGAAAGGGGAGCTAAAAGTGAAAGAATGTTTTGTTGAAGTTTTCAGAATAAAGTGATACACATAAATATTAGCCGGAGAATAAGAAGAGAGTAAATGAAGTATTATGAGTAAGATGTGATAAATGGGTGAAAATGGTAAATGCAAATATGACAGAATGACATAGTCTATAGTCAAGTGAAGGAAAAGACAAGAAGTGACAGGCCTTGAGACAATACAAGAGTATAAGCCCTAAAGTCATATCCTCATTTCGAGATATAAGTTGGTGAGTCCAACGTGATTACCATAAGGAAAAGTTAGACCCCCGGAGTAATAAAAATTAATATGGGATAGTGAACAAGATAAACTGAACATGAATTAGGGATAAGAAGATTTGATAATAGTCGACACCGTTACAATTTTAGAGATAGCGTTGTGGCAATAATCAAATGGACAATAAGAGAATAACCTTTAAAGTTCATTCAAGAAAACGCTTTTCTAAATCAAGCACTGTGAGCAGAGTTAAGCTTAAGGGACTAAGTGTGCTAGTTACACTAGATGTCACCTTTATGCGTAAGAAATTCAGTTATCCCTGGTAAGAAGGGTAACCGTAATGCGAGTAAGGGTCATTGATGATGTGAAAAGACGCCAAAAATGAAGAGGTAAAATATCTACAGGTAGATCGTCGTAGCACTAAGTCTTAGTACTCTCCTAAAGTGGGAGATGGTATGATATGGTATTAAGTCGAAGTTAGTTCAGGTTATTATGGAATAATAAAGGAAGATTGTGGTAGAAAGGCGAAAGGAATGAGATTGCATTTATTCAGATCCTACAGATATGATACGACTCCAGAACATTATGCAAGCACGACGCCGGAGAGAAGTAGTAAGGGTTCTAGCACTAGATGTTATTGATAAATAAGTGCAAATGAACACTTGATACATAAGGAACCAGTGCGAGGGGTAAGCTAAGATAACAGACATAACCCAAGAGAGATTACGCAGAATATATATGAGAATGGACCAACAAGTAGTTACTAGTTGATTCTGGAAAAGCCTAGTTATGGCTAGACCAGAGGATACAGACAAATCAGCATATTGTGCAAGATAAACATAGTGAACCCCAACATAGTGAATGCAGTCTTGCAAATATGACGTCGTAATCCTTGATAAATATTCAGATAGGAGTTGGGTTAGTTAAAGGTACCATATAAGTGTTACAGAAATAAAAGGGAGTGCCACTTAGAAGACAGTCAAAAATTTCAGTTAAGAAGCATCCCTACGAGCACAAGGGCGTGGAAGAAAGTAAATAGGGATAATTATAGCCGACCAAGAACATCAAAAATTCCATCAGGTATATGATGTAATAAGCTCGCAACTTTACAAGAGTCAGAGGGTCTCCCCTAAGTACTACAACGAAAGACTAGCTAAGGAAATAAGGAAGAAGGCTTCAACCTAAGCATAGTGACCTAAAGAGGAAATGATCTTGTAACAATAGTCTCACTATAACATTGTATGCACTCCATATGAAAGTGGCACATATTCTGGCTAATGAACGGGAATAAGAGAAAAAAACCAAAAGTGATATTTGAGATCATATGAGTTACAGGAAATTCAAGTATTCGTGGGCAATAGGATAATCCAAGTATTCATGCAACAAGTGGCAGAACGACCAGGAAAAGTAATTGCTTACATTTAAAGATGATTGGGAAGGCATGAAAGGAAATCTATGGTGCTAGCAATTTAAGTTATAAGCACATACTATAACTTAAATCCAATTATTATTGGAATTCTTGCACAAATAGCCGTCCATATTCTTTGTTTATATTTTCTAGTCATATACATAGATTATACATAATTATACATATATTATACCTCCACCGGCTATTTCGAGTTTAAATAGTTGAGTGAGCGGCTATTTGGGTTAATTCTTCATTATTTAAAACAAACAATTACTTCCCCGTCACAATGACATTCTTTCATTTTTAATTAATCACTCTTGAAAAAAATGTCACTTTTATTATTTAGAAATAATTTATTTCTAATTCCTGCTAACCCCTAATAAGTTGATTTACAATCGCATAAATATTTTTGTCATAAATTTTAAAAATTTATTTCCTCGTTAAATTTTGTAATGAGTTAAATACCGTCACATAAATTGAAACATGGGGAGTAGTTCCTGATTTTGATCATTTTCAAATGTCAAAGATTAGTCAGTTCAGCCCAAGTGATCCGAGTACTCTAGATAAGATATTTTCCAAAAAAGGAAGGGAGGAAGAGAGGCAGAAAGTAGAAAGATTAACAAGTTGCCACATCAGCAAAACCCATACAAGGTGGACATTTACTTTTCTGACATCAGTCCACTTGTCGCATAAAACAGCTGGGCTTAGGATATTTCTAAAAATAATTCAGCCTGTCTCCTTACAGCCCTTCAATTAACTCGCGTGTTCTTTCGTCCGCGTCATCAAACTTTTTTTAGCTTAATTGCTACACTTATCATAGCTTACTTCCCCTATATACAGACGCCCACCTTTCATATTGACCAAAAGAAAAACAACATCCAACACTACTATACTAGACTACTTCACACTCTCTCAATATATATATATATCAGTGATCAAGAATGGATATCTTTCGAAGCTATTACTCGGACTCACTTACTGAATCTTCATCACTTGCCGAGAACAGCAGCTCCCCATGTAATAGAGCTATTCTTTCTGATGAGGAAGTTTTGTTAGCTTCGAATAACCCCAAGAAGCGAGCAGGGAGAAAGAAGTTTCAAGAAACTCGACACCCAGTATACAGGGGAGTGAGGAAGAGGAATTCAGACAAATGGGTTTCTGAAGTCAGAGAACCAAATAAGAAATCAAGAATATGGCTTGGAACTTACCCCACTGCAGAAATGGCGGCTAGAGCTCATGACGTGGCGGCTATTGCATTAAGGGGTCGTTCTGCTTGCTTGAACTTCGCAGACTCTGTTTCGAAGTTGCCTATCCCAGCTTCTACCGACGCTAAGGATATTCAGAGAGCGGCGGCGGAGGCAGCCGAGGCTTTCCGACCATCTGAGTCAGAAGCAGTTTCAGGAGAATCATGTGGTGGCACTACTCATGAAACGCCAGAAAGTAATAAGTTATTTATGGATGAGGAAGCTCTGTTTTGCATGCCGGGATTGCTAGCGAGTATGGCGGAAGGACTAATGCTGCCTCCACCTCACTACATAGAAGTTGGAGATTATGTGGAAGCCGCTGCTGACATGCATCTATGGAGCTATACTATTTAAATACTTCTGGTTATTGCCTCTTTCGAATAATCTGTTAGATTAGTTAGTGTTGGATGGAAGTATTTGAGAAGAGGTTGTTTTATCCTTCATTGGGAAAAGAAAGAAAAGAAGATGCGTTTAAAAGCACTTCTTTGTGTTATATAGTTTGAATATTTTTGAGGGTGTTTTGGAGAGAAATTGAAATTTGACTATATTAATAATAGTCAAGATTGGGCAATTGGACTTTGGGCCAATTAAGTAGCCCAGTATTAATATTTTAGTCACCCATTATTTAATTAATTAAAAATCTTTTTGTCTTTTTAATTTCAGAAAACGTTTTAACAACTCTCTTTTAAATTCAAAAGATGGTGACTATTGGTTTTAAAAGGTGCCTGTTATGAAGAGATGAGTCTGTTAATTCCAACAGACTCCTAGAGGTATTATAAATACCTATATCATCTCCAAAACAAAATCATCTGAAACTTTCATCTCTTTCTCTTCTACTTATTTTCTACAACTCACAAATATTCTATTCTTGTGGGAAATTCGAGTTAATTGCTGAAACTCGTATTTAAGAGGCTTTGTAGAATCTTGGAGGAATTCTGCCATAATCTCCGCAGCAACGAAATTGGGAGACTTAAATTCTTTAAGGACATTGACTACACTATCAAGGCCTAATTATTTCGTCCCATATTCTACTATTTTTTTTCTAACAATATTAAGGAATTTAAAACAACACTGCAATGGAGGCTTCTGGTAGTGATTCTGGTTTCAACAAGATGTTCGAAGTGTTCAAACTGAATCGATTTGATGGCTCGAATTTCACCCGATGGAAAGACAAATTGTTGTTCTTTCTCAAGGAGTTGATAATAACATATATGTTGAGTTCTGATCTTTCTGCAATGCCAGAACATACTGCTGAATATTCAGACGAAATTAATGTGGCACGCAAAAAATGTGAAGTTAATGAGGTGCGCTGTAGAGGTTTTATTTTAAACTCATGACTTTCTGATCGTTTATATAATTTGTTACGTCCTCTCAAATCACCACAAGAAATTTGGAAAGCGTTGGAACACAAATATACTGTTGTGAAACAAGGAACGGACATATTCCTTGGAATGAAATTTTTTAAATTTCAAATGATAGATGGAAAATCTGTCATGGAACAGGTTGATGAGTTGCTCGTCTTGATATCCAGACTCAAAGATTTTAAAGTCGATGTTTTTGAATCTCTTCAAGTGGCTGCTGTACTTGAAAATTACCAGCCACTTGGAATGACTATAGGAAGAAATTATTACATTCTTCCGAAGACTTTAATGTAGACCAGTTGAAAAAGCATATTCGGATTGAAGAAGAGACAGGGAAGCGTGAAAATAAATATGCTGCAGAAACTGGTTCAAAGGTGAATTATGTTGAGTCTAGTAAGGAAAACAATTCTGGAAAATCTGGAAACAAGGATGGAAAGAAGAGAAAGTTTGAGGCTGCTTCAAAGGAAAATTCTTCTAACATTAAGAAAGGGCCGTGTTATACTTGCGAAAAAATGGGCCATTTTAAGAGAGATTGCAGATTTCGTAAGAAGCAGAAAAATGAAGAAAATGCTTGACAGAAGAGGGTAAGTAGTGTTGAACAACAACAAGCTTCTTCTTTGGATATCGTTGCTATTGTTTCTGCCTTTGCTAATTTGAATTTGAGTATGGTGACTGAATGCAACATGGAAGCAACTATAAAATCTGTAGATTGGTGGTATGATTCCGGTGCTACAATTCATGTATGCAATGACAAGAGTTTCTCCAAACATTATGAAGTTACAACAAGTGATGAAAAGGTTTTAATGGAAAATCTTGACACCGCCAAGGTCTTTGGAAAAGGAACAATTGAACTACAATTCACTTTAGGAAAGAAGTTAATTTTAATGAATATTCATCATGTACCTGATGTTAGGAAGAATTTAATTTCTGCAAGTTTATTATGTAAGAAAAGCCTCAAAACTGTTATACAGGCATAAAAGATTATTTTCTCTTAGAATGGTGTATTTGTAGGACAAGGCTACTCTTTTGAGGGCATGTTCAAATTGAATATTAATAAAGTTGATGTTTCTGCTTATATGATTGAGTCATCTATTAATTTATGGCATGCTAGACTTTCACATGTTAATTTTCGGTATGTTAAGTTTATGTCTATAAATATATTAATTCCTGTTTTTGAGTATAATGATAAAAAATATTAAATATGCATACAAGTTAAGATGACTAAGAAATCCTTTCCAAAGAATGAAAGAACAAGTAATTTACTTGAGCTTGTGCATTCCGATATAAGTGAATTGAATGGTCATTAACTAGAGGTGAAAATAGATACTTTATTACTTTTATAGATGATCATTCTAGATATACACGTGTTTACGTAATGAAAATAAAATATCAAGCATTTGATATGTTTAAGAGTTACAAAGCATTGGTTGAAAATCAACTGAAAAAGAAGACTAAAATCCTACGTAGTGATCGAGGAGGCGAATATCTTTCCAATGAGTTTTCTGTATTTGTGAAGAAAATGATTTGATTCACCAAGTTAGTGCATCGTATACCCCACAATAAAAATGGTCTTGCTGAAAGAAAAAATAGAACGTTGGTAGATATGGTTAATGCCATGCTTTTACATGCAAAATTACCAACGTATTTGTAGGGGGAAGCTTTGTTAATGGCTCGTTTTGTGCACAGTTGAGTACCTTGAAAGAAATTTAAGGTTTCACCATATGAATTATGGGAAGGAAAAAAGCCTAACTTAAATTTCTTAAGGGTATAGGCTGTTTAACTTATTATAGAATTCTAGATCCTAAAATAACTAAGTTAGGACCTAGAGGAATTATAAGCATATTTGTAGGATATGCTGAGAACTCAAAGGCATACAGGTTACTGGACTTTGAGTCTAAATATATTGTGGAATCTAACGATGTTGAGTTCTTGGAAACAAAGTTTATTGGCGATTCTAATAATTCACATGAGAATACAGAAATTACTAAACAAGATGGTAATGCAGCAAGCATTGATGATAATGCAGTAACTCAAGAAAATTGTGCAGAACCTAGTTCTTCTTCTAACAATAAAAGAAAGGCAATTGAATCTCCTATAGAATCAAGGAAAAGTCAAAGAGTTAGAAAAGAAAAAAATATAGGCGCTAACTTTATTTCCTCTCAAGCACTAGTCTTTCTGGTAGAAGGAACTAGAGATGAAGTATTAAATAAAATACCCATTATTTAAATTTAGGAAAGGATTCTAAAACATATAGTGAGGCTATGGCTCGCGGGACTCCGCTTTCTGGAAAGAAGATGAAATGGAGTCTCTTTTATCAAATGGTACATGGTATTGACAGATTTACCTTTTAATACTAAACCTATTGGGTGTAAATGGGATTTTAGAAGAAAATATAATACTGATTGTTCGCTACAAACTTTTAAAGCTAGACTAGTAGCCAAAGGATTTAGACAAAAGGTAGGAGTAGATTATTTTGACACATATGCTCTTGTGGCAAGGATTACCTCAATAAGAGTATTGTTTGCTTTATGTATTAGGACTTGTGTGCAAAATTTGAGTTCATTCCGAGTTGATTTGATATGTTTCGGCGCGAGTTTTTGGAGTCGAAAGTTCGAAAGTTCATTAAGCTTGATTTGAGGTGCGTTTCGTCGTTTCGATGTTGTTATGCATGATTTGAGGCAACGAGTAATTCCGTGTTATGTTATGAGACTTTAGGTATGGTCGTACGAGGTCCCGAGGGGCTTGGATGAGTTTCGGATAGGTTTTGGCTGTATTGCGCTAGTTTTTCATATATTTCGACTTTGTTTCTTCAAGCATAAATGGTACCACATTAAACAAATGAGCTCCAATTTCTGTTTCGATTGATGCATTAGATCAGTATCGTAATTACTGAGCCATAGCAAAAAGAATCGTCAAATATGGACATCGTATGAGGATTTTATGGTCATTTTACTAAGAATTGGGTTGCTAGATTTTTCAGGTTAATTATAATATTGACACTGGCTTCGTATTTAAAAATCTGCACTATATGCGAATATTGAAACCAACATATCTCCTTCATTATAAGGTCAAATGGAGTGATTCGAAAGCCTAACTTGACAGAAATTTCACAAGGAATCCATTGGAGGCATCAAAAGTGAGTTTTAGAATCGTTTACCACACAAAACGATGTAGAAAAGCTGAGCAAAAATATATAATATCGAAGGTTTGTTCATTTGGTCATATTTTGAGTTGGGGAGCTCAAATTTGGACAATTTTGGAGGCGATTTTCACCATATGGATTGGGTTTCGAGCCGTTCGGAGGTCGGTACGTGCGGGATGGCATGTAGGAGCATCGTTTGGCTTGCTCAGTATTGGATTTGGCTTGTTCTAGGTAAGTAACACTTCTAAACTAAGTGCTGAGGGTATGAAACCCCGAATTACGTGTTATATGTTTGGTGTTGAGGTGACGCACATACTAGGCGACGGACGTGTGGGCGAGCACTATGTGAATTGTGACTCTGTTATTCTTGTGGTACTGTGTAGTTATATGTTCTTATCTGTAACCATGAAATCTCTACGAATTAGAGCTATTGAGGTGTGATCCATGTTAGAAACCATGTCTAGGATACATGTTTATTCTGTTGGGACCGACTGAGGTCATATTGCTGTTGAATTATTTGTTTAAGTTGCAATATCATACTCAGTCGTGTTTATTCATTTCATATCAAATCTTAGTCCCTATTGCTATTTATTAACACATCATATCATCATTTTGGGCTAGTTTCATGGAATTTTGAGACCGAGAGACTGTGGAGATTGATGACTGTGAGGCCGAGGGCCTAATTGTGAGGATATTGATACTACAACACGTGAGTTGTCCGTGCAACATGTGAGTTGTCCGTGCGGATCCAGATATTGATACTATAGCACGTGAGTTGTCCCTGTAGCACGTGAGTTGTCCGTGCGGATTATAGCGCTTGGGCTGAAGGAGCCCCTCTGGAGTCTGTACAC